GAAACATGAGAATTGGGGCATGAATAGTGTAGGTGTGTTGCCACGTGGCAAAGCTAGGCAAATATTAGTGGTAAATATTTCAGACAATTACTGTCACCTTTAAGTCCTGGTGGCCATGGCACCACTATATGGCAGGGCCTCTTCCAGCTCTGGCCGGGCATGAGGCCTATTCCATAGTCTAACCACTGTGGGATCAAAGGCTCCTGCAATTCCATAGAGGCCTCTTTTGTCACAATGACTGCTCATCAAACCCCCAAATGGCAGAGTTCAGCTTGCTCTCTTCCACCTGTACGGGGAGGAGGGTGGGAAGGAAGAAACGTGTGGCTATAGAAAGGTCCAGTTCCTCCCCCCGGACCCCGAGGGCTGCCCATTATGTGAGCTACTCTTGGGGCCTAATCTTCTGAATGAGGGTATCTGGCCATTAAGTAGGAGGTCAAGATAAGCCACAAAATACATACGGCCCAATTTGAAGGTTTTGGGGGAAGAAGCCCCATTACTTGTATTTAAAATAAATTCAGAATCTTGTGTGTTTGAAAAGGCAAAATTTGCATGTATTAGAATTAAACAAAAGGCATACAGAAATTGTCAAGTTCTGTTGGTAGCTTAGTGGTCAGCCCTAGATGCCTCACCAGCATCTCCACAAATTTCTGTACTGTTGGTGGGAACTGTTTTAGGGAAAAAGTATGAGAAACTATGCAACTATTCTCTGGACTATAATTCCTGGGAGTAGGTTCCTGTCTGGAGCAGATGAGGTGCATTTCATTGCTGAATAAAAACTGGGGTGCGTGCGTGTAGCAGGGGTGGGGATCCTGGTGGACCCACAGAGGGGTAGAGGGCATGGGGTCCATAAGGAATCCACCTGGGTCTGCGTGGGCCTGATAATGTGCATGTTTAACAAGCTCCGAGGTGGTGCTGGTGGTGCTGTCTGGGGACCACACTTGAAAAGCACTGCTTTACCGACGTAAGAAAATCAGGGCAGGTCAGGCCCCTCTGTTTTGCTGTGTTGCTGGTTGGTCTAGGTGAGCTTCGCTTAAAGGGGGAGGACTGACATCTTAAGAACCCTTGCGGCTTGTGGAGTTTTGGGCAAAAAGTGAGGTAGCTGTCATTACCACTGGCCCCTTTGGTGACAAAATACATGGCCCAAACAAACTTGGCCAACACGATTATTTGGTTAGAACATAATTTTGGTCAGAAACTAATACCCATAGTCACTGATCCCAATCTCATCCCCACCTGGTACAGTTTTATAATCCTCTTAAGTGTCTGAAAATGTTGTCTGTTTTTCAGAACTTGCTTTTACACACTTTCTAATTTATGTTCATTTTTTTATTCTTCTCAGTGGGGGCTGTAACAGGGAAAAGTTAAAATAAACTAAATGTCGAATAATAGGGGATTAATTTGAACAACCTGAATATTTAGTAATTGAGGAATAGTTGAAATAAACCTAGGACATTGCACTGGTCCGCTGTCTGTTTGCTCTTAGATCCCTTCCTGCTTCCTTTGCGTGTTTGGTTTCTCAGGGTACCATAATGCCCTCTGAATCTCAGTAGGTTCCCACCTATGGCAGGTGCTGCTGGAACACTAGAAGGGGAAGATGGGAGATGCCAGGGTATTTCTCCCTTTCCCTCTCTGTTCTGGACAGTATACTGTCCATCCTAGCAATGGCCGTATNGAAAATACATGTTTCCTAAAAATTGGGCTCAAAGGGTGAGGTAAGGTTAAACAGTAGATGAGTGCTATTGGAGTGTGCCTTTTCACGTTTGCTCATACTCTATGTTCATGGCTTACACACATACATATGCTGTATAGGTTGTCCAAAAGTATGAGTCTGGTTTTGTCTATTTACAAAGTGTTTTTATAGATAGTTCATTTGAGCTTCTAAATCAGTGGTTTTCAAAGTAGGTTTCACATAACTTGTGGGTATAGAAAGAAAATATTAAAACTCTAATATTTAATGATCTCATTTTACTATTGCTCTATAAAGTATATGACATAGTGTTATAAGATGATAGTACATGTATTTGTAAACATACTTCTATTAGGGGTAAGAATGCAAAACTTCTTACTGATAACTGTTGCAAAATCAAAAAGGTGTGGCAAATCCTGCCATTATCTTAGTGTTTCTCCAACTATGTCTGGAAGATTACACATCAAGTCTGCAGCTCTGCAGCTGCCAACGCCCCCGCAAGACCTACTGACTTCAAATCTCTGAGAAGTGAGGCCCAGAGGACTGCTTTTTTTTAAAAATAAAAAAGCACACTGAAGTTTAAGAATGTTTGCTTTCAACTTTGTGAGGTAGGAATGATCCCCATTTCACAGATGAGAAAACTGAGGCTCAGAAAAGTTAAGAAACTTAAACCCAACGTCATACCTTCAGCAAGAGACACAGGCTGATTCCACCCCAGGTTTATGAGGATGAAAGAGGTCTATGTGTGAAGAGCCATCTGGAGGTCATGACGCATGGCTGCAGGTGTTACTACAGAGGCAACCCTCAGGTGCTTTTCCCACCATGCGAAGCCAAGGGAAAAGCAACATCTTAGTCGTATTACACTAATACAAAGCCAAGCTTCCCACTGCTTGTTTCAAACATTGGCTTTCTTATGCTTTTTGTCTCATTTTGGGATTAAGGTCCTCAAGGTCGAGACCAAACCTGTACCAGCTGTTCAGATTCTACTTTCTGTCCACAGCCCCCGTAAAGCCTCACTGTTCAAATAGAGCAGGGCAGTCTGAGAGTGAAGATCATGAATAATAAATGTAATTTCTCTCAAATTCATATAGACTTGTGCTCTGCAGCCCTGCATTTATGCCTTTATGACAACATATCACAATCTCATAATTAGCATTCAGAATCTCAGTTAGTTGCACGATGTCTCCTCAACTGTACTGTGATGAGCTTTGCTCTTTCACAAAAAACGTACTGAGTTTCCACGTTGTGCCATATGCTACACCAGATCCAGGCAAAAGGCACTTGTCATCATAGTCACTTCAGTTGCAAAAAGATTGCTAATAGTCAACTCCAAGTGACTGACTTAAATTTAAGTGCAGCTGTAATCAACATATTTAATGGGTTTGCCTAAAATGTTGTTTCTTAAAGTTGCTGAGGGGACTGTTTAGATATGTCCACACATATACCTTATGCACTGGAGAAACTCAAAGAGTTAGTAAATAAATGAGCAACTTATTTTTTTCCATAAATTAACAGAGAAAGCATTTATCATGAAAAACAAATGTCAGCTTGTCTCTGTTTCATTAGCACTAGTTCCAAAATAAATTTTTAAAAAATGAGGGAAAAAAATAAACAGGAAGGAAGAACTTCCACATTTTCATCATAAAGACTCATGCAAATAGGGGTCCCCTTGGTGAAGAATAAAGTCCAAGACTGGAGGGCACGTTCCTGTGTCTGCACACAGATGACAAAACTAAGGAAGGCAGGAGATCTTTGCTTAGGAACTTACACTTGGTGCCTCTGTCATTTTTCCTGGGGCCTCCTGCTTGGACGTACTGATGGAAGAGTTAGGAAGTGAAGAGAGAATGTTACCCTTTGGGTCAGAGGCAGAGTGAGGCAGAAAGAGTGAAAGGGTGAATGGCCAACTACCGAGCATGGACAAATGGGTGTGNATACGATGCAGCCTTATTAGTCTACAAATAATGATGGCTTTAAAAGCAAGGACAGCTTGGGGTTAGATGCTTGGGAGAACTAGTTCTGGGTAATTCCTGGAGTCCTAGAGTGCCCAAGCCACAGAGAATCTTAGAGAACATCCCACCCAATGACCTTATTTTAAAAATGTGGACTCAAGGCTGGAAGAATGAAATAGAGGCCAAGAAAAAGCAGATTGTCCCATATTTGTAGATGACCCTATGTGTGCGTAATTGGGACCCCAATATTTCTTTGAATTACAGTAAAAATACTTTTTGCATTTGAAAAGACGAGTAAGATTCACTACTGAGTACTTACTGGAGGTAAGACACTATGCTCGTTACTAGGACATAAAGAGGCAGAAGATCTCTGTTGTCTGTTAAAAGGGTCAGCACTCATTTTTGCAACAAATATTTCCTGAGCATCTACTATGTGCCAAGTGCTGAACTTGATTCCAGGGATCTGGAAAGGGTTTACAGTCCAGCAACACAGATAGGTATATAAATGGATGACTAATACAGTGTTATAAGTACTAGACTGAAATGTCATATAATATGTGACATAAGGTGAGCAGTGCCTGCATAACTTGGGAAGATCAGAAAAGGCTTTGTGGGCAAAAGTGAGCAGACCATGTGCTGGTGGGTTCCAGAGTACGTTCCGGGGGGCATGCAATGCCCACTCAGGAACACTACTTCTTACACCCTCTTAAACCCACCCTTGTCATGTGCACTGACATTGTGCTGCTCTAAATAAGACATCATCACCTCCTTACCTGGGTTACTGCAATTGCCTATCACCGGCATCACTCCTGTCTCCTAATCCGTTTTCCCACACAAAAGTCACGTGCTCCTTTTTAGGACACAATCTGAATCATATCACTCCCCCTGCCTAAAACTTGTCAAAGGTGTCCAGTGCCCTTAAGATATTTAAAAACATGTAATAATGAAGAAGATGATGAAAATATCAAACTTACATAGAGCTTCCTCAATACCAAGTGTCAATTACATGCTTGATGTGCACAACCGATCCTCATTATTTGTGGATTTACCTANCCGTGAGTCTGTGCTCTTGGGGTTAAGCGCTGGGGTTTCAGAGCATCCTCAAGAACACCTGTACCAGGTGCTCCCGGGGCTGGGTGGAGGGGAAGCTTTGTGGGTTGGCAGCAGGCTGTTTAACTTCTAGACACCGGCACCATGACCTACTCTGATTTTATTTCTCATGTCCTGAGTGATAGCCCGTCTCCACAGGGATGCTCTCACTATTTAACAAACTCACAATCATCGGAACAGATGCTGGCTGTAAACAACAGGTAAGGCGGCCCCTCGTGCACGCCACAGAGAATCAGCTCAGCGTCTAGGGAGCAAACACGCCTGGAAACGCCTGCGTGACACCAGCTCCTTCACCTGCGTAAAGCGCCTGCCCTAATCCCCCTCGTCCACATCCTCTCCTGCAGTAGCCGCTTCTAGAGCTGCGAGGGCTTCTGCCACCTCCGCGTCCTCGTCCGCCATCTCCCCACTCGTGTCTCCAGGGGAGCCGTGGGCATCCTCGGACCCGTTTCTCGAATCTGCCACCGGCACGGCCTGGGCAGGGTCCTCTTTAAAGTAGACGCTAAGGACCTCTGCGGCCACAGCCTCGTTTAGTGAATCCCAGCTTCTCTTCACGGAGAAGGGCATGTTCCACCCCTGCTCCCCCACCCCGGGGCGCTCTCCCTCCAGGGGCTCCTGCTCAGCATGGCTCTTGAAAAGACAATCCTTTTCTCCGTGATCCACGTTGTCTCCAGCTGAGCCCCAACGCTGAGGGTAATCCGGGGCCGGTATCTGGAGGACATGGTCTTGTACTTCCACGGCAGGGCATTCTGCCTCGGAAGGGGCTCGAGTCTCCCCATTTTGGATGACTCGGGTCTCCTCTGAGTCCGGCAGCACACAGTCCTGTCCCCCGGCGCCCCCGCCATCGAGGAAGGGTTGAATCGGGTGCATGCTGTTTGCGGTACTGGCCCAGGAACCGCAGCCACCCTGGTGGGGCCCGGGATCCCCGGTGGGCTGCAGAGTGGCAGTGGGGCCAATGCCATTGATGGTACCGCCAGTCCTCACTGCATAGTGTCCCTCTCCCGTGTCCCCTTGAGGGAGTGATCCTTGGTGAGGCCAGCAGGGCTCCTGTGGACCAGCTTTTCTGCTTCTGCTCACCGTCCTCCTCAAGGCCTCTCTGGGAATCTCATTTTTATGCACCAGGACTTCGCTGCTCTGCTTGCCTTTTAACTTAACAGTCCCGTCTCCATCTAACTTGCAGCTGCTCACTTCGTTGACGTAGCCGGGGGAGGGCACTTGAACTGGGTCAAAGAGANATACATGTTTTTGGCACCCTCTGTATATTAAACAAGGTACCTTTAAACAGAAACACACAGGGCCAGCCGAGTGGCGTGTTGGTTAAGAGTTGGCTTGGGACGCCAGCTCTGAGCAGCAGGGCTCCGGTTTGGATCCCACATGAGGGCCAGTGACACTGCGCCCTCTACAGCTAAGATGATGAACAACAGCTCGACCTGGAGCTGGGCTGCCGAGTCACCGGCGACGGCATAGGCTGCAGTGAAGCTGCATAGGCTGCCATGGGCTACCATGAGTGGCTGGCAGCCAGCATGAGCGGCCGGCAGCCGGCATGAACTGCCAAGAGCCACCAGAAGCAACCATACAGTGGCCAGCGAGGGACTGCCTCACCCGGGAAGAGTGCAATGATAATACCAACATGGGCCAGTAAAGCGATGTCCTCCAAAACTAGACTGAAGAACAAAAAGACAGCAACTTGTCTGTTCCCTTTCCCCGATTCCCCAACGCTGTTCCCCTCCACCAATTCCCCAATAAAAAATCTTAAAAAACAAAAACAAAAACAGAAACACACATAAAACAAAGTTATGTATTGCTCGATCAATGAAAATGTGGTGACCAGAGGTTCCCAGGAACCTAACCACAGATGAGTATTTCTCCTGGGAGCGATGGTTCACTATTCACTAACTCATTGTTTGAAGTGACTTTGTGGAATATGACTACATTGACTAATGAGAACTGACAGAAATAGTTCATTTAAAATTAATGAGAATCTTAAAAAATAAAAACAAAGTCTTTTCTGTAGCACATACCACCCTCTAGTGCATCATCTCTCGTTTATTTCCCTGGCCACACTAGCTTTCTTTCAAATCTTTAAACTTTTAAATTCTTTTAAATTTCTGTTTCCTCCTGGCCATAGGCTATTTCCTTTGCCTTCTCACACCACCTCCAGCCAGCTCAGATCACGGGTATTCCACACCCATCTCACCTTTCACCGTGCCTGCTTAGCACAATTTAAATCAGTTTATTTAATTAATGGTTGTGATGCCTTTCTTGCCTTTTCAACGCTAGGGATCCTGTGAGTCTCCTGGTCACTGCCGTGCCCCACATGGCTGCTCTTAGTAGGTGAGCTCATGAGGAGGCTGAGAAGTATGTGCAGAGAAGGAGGAGGGAAACCAGGCATTGGTATCAAGAAGCAAGAGAGGAGGGAGTTAGAAATGAAGGGGTCTGCCACCACATCACGTCAAACGCCTCAGAGAAAAGGATGGAGAGGCGCACACTGGTTTTGGTAACAAGGAGATTAACCGTAAGAAGTGAAGGATGTGTGTGGTTCCTAAACTTGAGAGTGTCTCAGAATATCTTTGGACGGCTGGACATCACCCCCAGATTTTTGATTGAGTAGGTCTGGGGTGGGGTCCAAGAATCTGCATTTCTGATAAGTTCCCAGGTGAGGATGATAATGTTGGTCCTAGGACTATACTCCAAGAATCACTATTTTAGTAAGGATGGTCTTTATTGGAGAAACCCCAAACTGCCTGGGGAGACAGATTAACTGAAACATTTTCAGTGCCAAGATTTAGATGGGTCATGTCTCATGTCACATGCTTTAGAATTGTATCCATAAACAACAAAAGGAGAAAGGAAATAATGGAGTTCTATTCAAATCTGAATGCACCAGAAAACATCAGATTTGGGGGAATTGCTCCGTCTACTGGTTTTAATGTTTTAGGTAATAAAAACTGTAGTGAATGATCAAGTAATAGAAAATTTAATGGAAGGTAAAAAGAATAGACTTTTTTCCCCCTAAAGCATTAAGAAATAAAAAAAAATATTCCTTACCTGTTGTAGAGATTGTCCATTAGATTTCTCTGGAGGTTTAAGTTGTCTTCCTGCAACAACAAATAAGTTGAAAATTGAAGTCTGCAACTTGCTTCCATGTTGCAGCCAAGTTGCACCAACAAAGTGATAGTAGAGAGCACTTTCTGAGGGGCACCAGGCAGTGGTGTGTGGGTGATGGAGTTTTGGACCTGGAACAGTCAGCCCACACAGACAGGAGCTTTGAAATTTACCAGGCCTGCCTGGATTTGCAGCCCAACTCTTGACACTTGCCAATCAATGAACAATTTACCCACATTTCAGTGTTTCTTCTATAAAATAAGATTGTAGTAAGATTTAAATGGCACAACATGTGAGCTGTTGATCACATGCTGGGCAGGTTGGAATTGTTCAATAACCAAAAGCTACTGCTCTACTACTGTTGATAAACATTACATGACAACATGCCTTTTCTCTGATGGGTAAAGTTTCTACTAAGCAGAAAGAAATTTAAGGGATTTGCTTCTTGGAGACATATCAAAGTTTCAATGAATACATGTAATACATGTATAAAAGTTCAACAAAACATATCATTTACAAAAGAGCTTTGTTTATAATGAAAATAATGTATAGAATTTGAAAGTAAAGCAAATGTTTAGATATTTTACCAACTTCTTCGTGATTATTAAAATAATTCACTATCTATAGACCCACATTTTTTGAAAAATGCTCTTATCCTACTAGCTACTCCCCTGTTAAAAAGCCTTACAGGGTTCTGCATTGCCTTCCAAGTCTTTATTGAACCCAGCTAAGCATTGAGGCCCTTTTTATATGATATCAACAGCCTTCCAACGTTATCTCTGAAACTCCTCTAGCCGCTATTTCCAGCCAATCTGGATTTTCACTATTTTCTAAACACGCCCTATATTTTTCTGTGTTTAAGCCTTTGTACATATTATTTCCCCCAGATGGCATGCTTCCATGCCCATTGATATTTTACAAAATTCTTCTGATCCTTTAAAACGTATTTCACACACCATTTTCCCTATGAAGATTTTTTAAAAATCCCAGCTAAAGGCAATTACCCCATTCTTTTAATTTCTATAAGATCTTCAACTGCTTGGATGGCTCTGATCACTTTCTGCCTTGGATGATAGCAATTTATTTATATAACGTTCCCTCCATTAGACTGTAAACTCTCAGTAGGGAAGGGTCATGGCTTCATCATTGTTTATCTACATGTTATATTTCCTCACACACTGAGGTGGAGAGGACAGTTTTAGTAAAAGCAAAAGGGTAGGAAAGAATATGATTTGTGTAAAGACAATGGATATGGCATATATGATCAGGCTACCGAGGCTCTTGAAAACAGGCCCAGAAGATAAAAAATGACATGATTGGCAAAAGGGAGTAAATTCTTGAGCAGTGAATGACAGTATAGCAGCAATATATTAGAAAGCTTCATCTGCTAGTAGTAAGCAGGGAAATTTAGAAGGGTTAGGTACAGAGACACTTGCTAAGAGTTGATCCTTTTAATTAAGTGACAAATGAAAAGAACCTGGTGTGTGGTCGTATCAAAGGGTATCCAGAGGGAAAATAAAAAATTTAGAAATCTAGTGTTTTAAGTTTTCCTTGATTTTCGAGTTAAGTATTAATTTGTACTATCCCAGGTTTCTCTGAGCATTGGTTTATACACTTATTTTATATAGTATCTTGGAAAAGTTTTGTTGCCTCACTACCTGTTTCCTTATGTGTAAAAATGACAATTATAATAGCACTTTTTTTTTCAGAGAATAGTTAGGATTAAGTAAAAGAACACAGTAAAGGATTAAACATAGTGGTTGGCACAAACTACAGTCTCAACAATGTTAGCTATGATTTTTTCATTCATTGTTGTTGCTGTGATCATCATCATCATCATCATGTTAGTCAGTTTTCTTTTTCTCATCTTCATCATCATCATCATGTCATCATCATCATGTTAGTCAGTTTTCTATCTTTTTCTCATCACCATCATCATCATCATCATGTTAGTTTCCTTTTTATCATCATCATCATATCATCATCGTCAGTTTTCTTTTTATGATCATCATCATCATCATCATATCATCATCATCATCATCTGTTAGTCAGTCTTTTTATCATCACCATCATCATCATCATCATGTTAGTTTTCTTTTTATCATCATCATATCATCATCATCATCTGTTAGTCAGTTTTCTATCTTTTTCTCATCACCATCATCATCATCATCATCATCATCATCATTAGTTTTCTTTTTATCATCATCATCATATCATCGTCAGTTTTTTTATGATGATGATGATCATCATCATCATCATCATGATGTTAGACAGTTTTCTATCTTTTTCTCCCTGCCACTGTTGGAAGTTCCTTGATTCCAATGATAGCATCTCATCATCTTTGTTTCTTCAAAAAAGAATACAAAGTAGGATTTCCACACATATGTACTGAATTTTAAGGAAGGGGTGGAAGGTGTCAGAAATCCATGAAAGCAAGAATTTGTGTGACAAAGGAAGGAATTATTAAAATTATTCTTATTTTTGGAGGCTGACAGGTGGGAAGAATGGTGGTTCCATAAACAGAGAAGATGGAGGGAGAGCCACGTGTAGCATTTGAGAGATTCTGAATTCAGCGTTTAGCCTTCTGAGTTGAAGTGATATATGGGGAGAAAATAAGAGTAAGGCAGAGAGAACAAAGGCATGTAGCCATCTTCCATTAAAAGAAAAAAAAGGGCATAAACTTATATAGAGAGCAATGGAGAAGATAAAACAGAAGGTCCATGGACGTAAAGAAACTGATCTGGTAAGTCAGCAGCTCAATATAGACTGTAGAATCCTTAAAGGCCTTCGGAAAGTTGGAATGAAGAGGGGAGGGCTAAAGTCAGAGTAATCTGAAAGGTGTTTAAGAAGCAGTTAGGCTCCTAAATCCCCTTCTGTACTCCTGCCTAGGGGTGGTTTCCACTCTCCATCTCAACCAAAGAAGATAAGTTTGGTGTCTACAAAGGGTAAAACAGGGTTTCTGGGCCAGGAACACAGTAGGGAACACACAGCAAAGGGTAGGGGTTCTGAACCCAAAACCAGGTGACTAAGTGCATATATGCACATGGAATGCTGAGACCCTCAGCCTGCTCCTCTGCTTGGCTCTGGGAACACTAGCGACCACCTTCTACTTCCTGCCAGACATCTGAGGAAAGGCTGTAACATGAAAGGTAGACACCAAAACCAACCAACAAAAAAGTTCCTGAAACCAAGAGTAGGGAAAAGAAAACAAAACAAAGCAATTGACAATAATAATAATCATCACGTCACTTTGCATCCCAAAAGAACAAAACCCTATTTCAAAAAAAGAGAATAACAAAAAAGCTCTTTGGTTTAAAAATTAAAACAAGACAGCAAAAATGAACATTTCCGTAGAGAATCTAAAGAAAAAGGAAATCTGACATAAAGTAGCAAATGAGATAAAGACATAGAAAATCGAATAGAAAAGACAAAAAAAAAATTAGAGGTCCATCCAGGAGGTCCAATATCCATATAATAGGAATTCCAGAAAGAGAGAACAGACAAACAAAGAGATTTCATCAACAAAATAATTTGAGAAAAATTCCACCTAACCAAAGGAATAAGTGTCTAAGATGAATGTACTCACCCAGTGACTAACACAATACATAAAAATAGACTCAATGTCAAGACACATCATTGTAATATTTCAGAACTGGGATAAAAGTTAAGACCTAGCAGACTTCCAGAATGGAAAAAACAGGTAGACGAAGGTCTAGGGGTCAGAATGGTTTAGGACTTCTTAAACAAACACACAGAAACCATTCTAAACCTGGCCAAACTAACAAGTGAGAGGGTGGAATAAAGACATTTTCAGATATAAAAAAATTACCATCCATATACCTTCCTCTCCTGGGAAGGAAGCTGCTAGAAGATGTAACAAACAAATGAGGGAGGAAACCGGGAGGGGAAGGCAAGGATACAGGAAGCAGAGCATGAAACACAGGCGAGAGACCAAAACGTCCACCAAGACGATGGTGACGGGAGACCCTAGAATACCGGCAGTGTGCACAGCTAAAAGGACAGCTATTCAGATTGGAGAAGGTTCTGGGCAGTTTTCTTTAAGAGAAGAAATTGGTAGAATAATTTATATGTTCTAAAGAGAAAGATTTATACAACAGGGAAAGAACTTGTGGTCAAATCAGTGGTAAGTATGCAGGATGCTGAACAAACGAAAAACAGGGCCATTTGTTACCTCCAGAGAAAAAGCTGTGCAGGAAAGGAAATATAATTCTCTCTCTGGCTTATTTATGAATGGCACTTACATAGGTATAATAAATACTAGGGTATTCGTCTAACTACAGTAAAACTGGAGGTTGGGGGGGAGGGGGTTACATGGGGAGTGGGAACATTCCTTATGTGTGGTGGGCCAGAGGATAAGAAGCTAAATTATCTTCTGTTGTAGAAGATGATGTCTAAAACTGAAAAAAAAATATCAAGAAATGGTAATAGAAGCATTCATTTAGAGAAATAATAGGCAAAGAACCAAAACAATGAGCGAAAAGGTGATTTTCTTTGAGGAAAGAAAACGTGCTCACAAGTGTGCAGCCTGGGCTGCATTGGAAGATTTGGGAACCAATTTAGTCCTAAGAGCTAAGTCGTGAGAAAGGATAAGTTAGATGATATCGAGTGAGAAAAATGATGCTTTTGAAAATGCCAGCTCACAGCCATTTAACGTACACTAATTAGTTAACATCAAGCACTGCGGGCCAGGCCATGTGCTGGTAGGTGATCATAGCAGGATGCATAAGACCTAAAGCTTACAACCAACTCAGGTAGGCAAAATATAAACAAATGACTATGATCCAGTGATATAAATGAGCTTATAGGCAAAGTATTATGAAAATGTGGGCCCAGCAATCAACAGTGCAGAATAGTGCACAGCTGCACAGTCCAACATGGTAACTACTAGCCAGCTAGCCACATGTGGCTATTTACATTTAAATTACTTAAAATTAAATACATTCATAGTTCCTTGGTCATGCTTCCCCCCCCACATTTCAAATGTCCCAAAGCCACATGTGGCTAGTGGCTACAGTATTGGGCAGTGAGACATGAAGTGTTTTCCTCATTGCAGAAAGTTCTACTGGATGGTGCTGGTCTAGAGGTTCTTCAGTGGTGATTTTTTTTTTTACAGCGTATTCAAATACATTAAATCCCTGAGGGGGTCACATTCCACGGGTCTATTAGTAAATAGAGCCTTACATAGTTTGATATTTAACCAGGTAAGTTATCTGTACAAGGAATGGAATTTTTACTCTGTTGGAAATTTAGTGGAGCCACCCCTACGGCCAGCAAGGAGTATTTCTTACACCTCCTGATACGGTTTGGCCACCCACAGATGCTGGGGGCCAGAGGTCTGTGAGTTTTGGGAAAACACTTACGTGTAGTGGAAAGAGGGGAGCGTTTGCATGTTAGCTCCAGTGCTCATTAGCTGTGTGGCCCGGAGCAAATCTCTCAACCTCCCTGGGCCTTTGTGTTTTTAGAGGTGAAGTGTACGGATAATGCATGAATCAGGATAAGCAGCAGCAAAAAACGGCAGTTGCCATTCTTCTCATTGCTCAGAATTCCCAACTTTCAAGAAGCGTGTTGGTAAAGAGGGACTCCTCCGTGAAGAGAGCTGGCTCTCCTCACCTCTCATGTCTTCTCATCACTTCCGTTTTCCAGCTTTGCTTAAAGGAGCCATCATTGAGCAGGAACTTAAGTACCAATCACAGGAAGGGGCATTTCTGTTCAAAGCAGGGCAGAGGGAAGAGGGGGGGAGAGCGACGTTTACCCGAAGCCCTAGGACATGCCAAACCCCCTGCAAGCAGTTGATGTCATTCTATAAATCCTCCCAAGGTCTCAAGGGAGCGGAAGGACGTGGGGAAGGTGGCTGGAGGGAAGGTTTGTGGGTGGTGGGAAAGACAGCACGGTGGGACCTAACCCCACAAGGACGGACTGGGGGTTCGATTTGGTGGGGCCCTGGATGCCATGCAAAGGGCCTGACTTGGGGAGATGCATTGTTTATAGTAACTGGTGACAACATTCTGGACGCACTGGTAGGTCAAAGAGGGAAGACGCCAAGGTGAATTTGAGCCTGCCCATGACTTATCTTCAGAAAGGATTTTACTCAGGAGTTTTCACCATACAGTGGACAGCCCATCTCTGTCAACTTCTTTAACTTCCATGAGAAAAAGGAAAAAAAAAAGTTTCTTTCCAAGGGGAATTAAATGCTAAATATGATAAGCCTGAGTTGGCACCAACACTCATTGCAAGAATTAACTTTCCCTTGTAATTTGTAAATACATTCAGGCTTGTTTTCGGATTTTCTTTTATGGGTTTTCCCCACCCCCAAGCCCAGGCAGGGCCAATATCTGAATAGAAAGAAAAGATCTCCAGCTGGGCTCTTTTCTCCGAACAAGCTTTGCAAGCTTGCAACATCTTCCTTGGATACGGTTCAGCTGGGGGCCTTCCCTGTATTCCAAGAGGAATTCCTGCCTCCTCACACAGGGGCCCCTTTGTTGTCTGAGGTTATGAGAAGTTAACCACTACTTTGCACAAGGAAATATCTTCTCATTGTGTGAAGGAATGATCAAAGAGGAATGTCATTTAAACCAAGGAAAACAAAACCATGATTTATATCTAGAATCTCTGCAGAGAAATGAGAGATCCTAGTTATTTCAGTAAAGCACAGATATCTGCAGTAGAGTGTAAAATCCACTCATCTATTGATGGATTTTAAAGTTGAATCCTTAGTACATGCCAAATTCTAAGTCTTTTTTTAAAGTAGAAAACCTTTTTTCTTTTGCATCTGCTCTGCTCATAAGTGCCTCTAAACTTTCCCAAATGCTTTAAGAACTTTTATATTATAATATAAATGATATATTATGTATATTTGTATGTATACATATTTATATACATATATGTAATATACATATGTAAACATATATAATTATAAGCACACAAAGTTTGGGGAAAGAGGGGGAAAAAAGGTCAGCTATAACCATAGCAACCTAACCTTGCGTTAGGTGTAAAATTATTTTTCAGGATTTGTTTTAGTTTGTGTCCATCCGCATACCAATCTCACACAATATTCACGTCCTGTTTTTTTGTCCACTTAGCATTATGTCTCCAGCCTTTTCCAAGACAATACAAAATGTCCATAATGACTGATTTAAATGACTGCATGTTATTCCAAGAGTGACCCTCTGCTAGCTAACTAACCACTCCTCTCTATAGCTTAACATATTGGGAACTTCCCGTTTTTGGTAAGGTTACCCTCCGTGCAAGTTCAAAGTACACATTGCTGATTATAAACTGTACATAATTGTAACGTATGAGATGAGAGTTGCTTTTCCTTGCCTTTCCATTTTTTTCACTTTCATTTGATATAAGTACAGAAGACCAATAGGACCCGGCAGTTAGAGACCAGCCAGGAGGCTGTTTCTCCATCACAAACCAGGAAATGCTGGATCCAAAAGGCATCACTGCTATTCACATTCAGAACTCCAGGTAAAGGAGCAAACACAACGTGCCCAGCAATGATCTGTGCCAGGCAGAAGTCCTCCTTTCCCAAACAGTTAAAGACCCTGCACCATTGACCACAGGGGATCAGACTTGAATTCTTAACTTCTATTAAAAGTTATTCTTTTCTCCCTCTGTCTTTGCAGCACAAGCTCTTCCCAGGAGGAGGCAGCAAGGTGTGTCACTCTCAGCAGCACGGTCCCCAGGAACAAGCATCCAGTAACTCTGTAGGTGCCCCAATGCCCTTTGGATATTACTGTTTCTATTTATAAAGTTCTTATTCTGTCTCAATTTTCTCACATATGCAGCAATAAGAGATTTGTCTCAG